GGGTGTTAGGAGCTGGTAGAAGCAGCCAGGAGCGCAAACTCCTCGCTCTGCTCCAAGTTTTGGTATCCCGGTCCACAGTCGACAATTACTTCCCAATGCATGGCTAGTGGCAATGCAAATTAAGCCTTATTGTTCTTATTGTCACAGTTATGCAAAAGGTTCACGATTAGGTGACCAGCCTTAAAGGGACTATGCTCCATGTGGTAACATGCCTATCTGAAGAAGTGTGTGTGCACCCGAAAGTGCATACCCAGCATTAAACTTGGTTGGTCTTAAAGTTGCCACTGGACTCAAACTTGGGTCTACTAGGGCTGCCATATACTGGAGAGGGAAAATGTCCTGTCCCTTTAATTGAGGTTCAATGCGTGCAAAGGGGCAGCTGAAACTTTTTCAGGGAATGAAGTTAGCTAAGGTCACCTGGTAATTACTTGCAGATCGAACAGATACTAAAGGAGCAGCCAGAGGGACCAGTTTAAATAATGGCACCCCTAGTGCCTACACGAGTAGAAAGGGACCCTTAGGAGAAGGCTTTCCGGTGTTTGCATTTCAGATAAAATCCACCCATGTCCAGAAGGAAAAGTGTGTTACCGTTCCTCTGCCTAGTCCTCATGACCTGCATACATGAGTTCTAAACCATAAAGTTGCATTCTAGGGGCATTTATTGTTTTCCTTGAAAGCATCATCATGGGCTAGAAGATGCTGTCAGTCCAGTGATTGTTGAAGTCAGTGGTGCCTCCAGGTGTCTCTCCTGAGAGATAATCAGTACTGATCACAAAATGCAACATCTCTCTCTGCTGCTTTTGGCATTTTATAATAGGGAGATTGAACTGGGGCTTCTCAGATATGTTAACTTGAGAGAACTGCCTCTGACTGTCTTAAGGGGTAAAACTGAAGTCTAGTGGCACCTTAAAGACTTACAAAATATATTCGAACATGAGCTTTTGTGAATCAGAGCTTACTTCTTCAGATGTTTATTAGAAGGGAATCTTTTTGGGCATTTTTATAACAAAAAGCACAGGGAGTGGGGGGAGGAGCTAGAGCATAGAGGGGCAGTCCCTTACCCAGGGAATCATGCCTGAACATTCACAACAACAACAACAACAACAAATTAGCAATTTCAAATTTGGTGTTTTTCATTCTTCCT